TTTCTTAAAATATCATTTATTCGAATACAGAAGAAGCTGCCACGCCCACAGATACAGAAGAAGCTGCCACAACCTCGTCTTCTTTACAGACGTACCAGCGTCGGAAGAGCTCCCGGGAGCGCAGACCTCCGAATCAATTCACTCCTAGAAACTATTAGGAAATTTATGGACATTTTTTTTTCTTGACTTTTGTGTAATTAAATTAACACATATTGGTATTTTGAATAAATTATTGTGCTTCAATTTTATTTGTGGAATTGATATATTTTGGTTGAATATTTGGTTGTTGAATATTTGGTTGTGGAATTGATTTCGACAAACAGGTGTTCTATTTTATTTCTGTTGTAAAATTGTTGTTTCTGTACAGTAAAACGTATTTTCATAATACGTTTTAGCTTTTTATTTTTTAATTGAAAACGTATTGTCAGAATACGGTTTTCTGAAGGAAACCGTATTCTGAAAATACGTTTTCAATTAAAAAAAAAATTCAAAAATTTTACTAATTTTTTATAATTTATAGTATATAAAATTTATTTTTTTTAAAAAAAAAACGTATATTTAAAACACGTTTTTGTATTTAAAGCGTTTTTCAAAAATACGTTTCTTATAAAACGTATTATGAAAATACGTTTATTTTAATTTAATTTTCTTAATCGCGTTTTAATTAAGTTAATCATGTTTAAAAATTCAATTCTGTTGGTATCTAAATGTTGATATCTAAATAATTTGTACAAAAGTGTAAATAGGAGGAAGATTTATATGTAATGTATATTGATGGAAAATAGATGTTGGATGATATAATGTAGAAGAAATTTGAAGTGATTTTTCTTTTTCTGCATACTCACTCATCTGAACACACACATATATATAGTACACATGGATCATTCTAGAGTACAATAATTGATCTTGTCCAACCAAATGCTCACCTAATAACAACTAATGACAAAATAATTGAACATTATTACAAATGACAACCAAATTATTAAATGAGCATTAATAATTCAACACTCCCCCTTAATGCTCATTTGCGTAATACCGAGCTTATCACGTAGTGCCTTGAATCTTGGTTTCGGTAGTGCTTTCGTAAAAATATCCGCTAGTTGGTCTTCTGTGTTGATGTACTTGAGCTTTATTTGGTTGTCCATATATGTAACGGTTTTGTACACCTTGTCTTTGAATTCTTCTTGTAGTGACATTTCTTGTATTTATTGGCTCGACAATTGCTCGATTGCACATTCTATAGAATTCTGACTTTTCTTTTGGTGGTTTTGAAACTTGTCTTTTGATAACTGTGTAAGCTTGCTTTTCCTGATGACTTGATTTCGGGACTCCGGTATTTCTCTTCTTGGCGTCTTCTCTTTGACTATTCACACTTGATTTGGTAATTTGTGCTGGGTATTGAAATTCCATTGCAAAACACTGATTCGCCCTCATTTTGATTTTTGCAATTACTTTGTTGTTCTTGTCATAAATGATGCATGATTCTCCTCTGAAATGCAAGTTGTAGCCTTTTTTCAACATTTCGCCGACACTTAGTAGATTTTGATCAATTGCTGGAACCAATAGGACATCTTTGATGTATTTTGTCCCTTTTCTTGTGTCAATGACGATAGTTCCTTTGCCTGTTGCTTCCACATAGTTGCCGTTTCCAATCTTAACTTTTGAACTGAATTTTTCAATATTGCAAAAGATACTTTCATCGAATGTCATGTGATTGCTGCACCCGTTGTCCAAGTACCAAATGCTTCTTTTGTCTTTTGTTGTACCGTTGGAAGCATAGAACAATAATTCTTCTGGTCCAGTCTCTTCTGAAAAATTTGCTCGTTGATTTTGTCTTCTGCCCCAACAGTTTTCCTCGACGTGGCCATACTTTTGACAATTTTTGCATTGATTTTTCTCTTGAAACCAACATTCTTCTTCTTTGTGATTATTTTTATTGCAAATTCCACATGGTGTATCATACCATATTTTGTTTTTGTTATTTTCTCTAAATCTTCTCCCCCCAATTTTAGAATTCTGAGACCGTAAATTTAGTTTTGACTGAAATGCATTTTCAACTGTGTCATTCTCACGCATACTCAGTCTTTTTTCATAGGCTTCTAGTGAACCTATTAATTCTGTTACTGACAAATGATCCAAATCTTTAGTTTCTTCTGTCGTCGTGACGATAGGATCATATTTGGCTGGTAGAGTAATTAGAATTTTTTCTACCACCCTTTTGTCAGTAATATTTTCTCCATATGCTTTTAATTGATTTACTACTTCTCTTAATCGAGTGTAGTAATCTTTTACGGTCTCAGATTCTTTCATCTTCATATTTTCCAAATCTCTTCTTAAAGTTTGTAATTTCAGATGACGTACCTTGTCACTACCCTGATATTCTTCCTTAAGAGTATCCCACGCCTCCTTTGATGTCTATGCTCCGCTAATTCTCGAAAACAGGGACTCCGCTAAGAGTATCCCACGCCTCCTTTGTAGTGTGAAAAGGGCCAAACTGTCCTTTTCTTTCTCCCGGTCCAATTTTTCTTCGTCCGTCGTAGACAAAGTGGATATATCATCGGGGATAGTATACCCGTTCTCGACAATATTCCATAGACCTTGAGACATAAAATATGTTCTCATTTTAATGGCCCAATAATTATAATTTTCGCCGGAAAAAATAGGAATTGGTATTTGATGGGTATTTTGGAAAGTAGCCATTCTAAAGATTTAATAGGCTATGAAAAAAAAGAGGATATGAGAAAATATGGTATTTGGACAAGATATGTAAAAATGGGAGGATATTGAAAAATAATTTCGCCCAGTTATTAATCCAATCGGGCTCTGATATCACTGTTGGTATCTAAATGTTGATATCTAAATAATTTGTACAAAAGTGTAAATAGGAGGAAGATTTATATATAATGTATATTGATGGAAAATAGATGTTGAATGATATAATGTAGAAGAAATTTGAAGTGATTTTTCTTTTTCTGCATACTCACTCATCCGACTAGAGTACAATAATTGATCATGTCCAACCAAATGCTCACCTAATAACAACTAATGACAAAATAATTGAACATTATTACAAATGACAACCAAATTATTAAATGAGCATTAATAATTCAACAAATTCATTATAAAACGTAACATGATAAGACATTTTACTTTAGAAACGTATTCTCAGAATACGTTTTACAATTTAAAACGTATTCTGAGAATACATTTGTTTTATTTTGGTCGACAGACTTTTTTTTTTTTTTTTT